TCCCCGTCCTTGCTGACGCCAGAGGCAGAAAATGCAGGATGTATTTCTGTCTATTACTGAGATTCATGACATAATATGGTACTGTTCGAAAAGTTCATCGTAATTTGGTCCTGACATTCAGTGCTGGTAAATTCAGTAAATATCAGGCTGAACAATGCCATCACTGATGCCGTATATGGTGGAACATGCAAAAGATGCAGCATTTCCATAACAAATTTTGCTCCTAACTGTTTCCATTATGAAGCTTTCACAAAATTAAGGCTGCGTGTTTGCCTCTAAGGAAAGTATATTTTTTCATTGCATCTCAAAATAGCTCAGTTTTCAACTGAGTTACGGATAAATATTTTAGGTTTGTGCATAGACTGCATTGAAAATGTAGCCTGAAAAGGGAAAGCATTGTAAAGCCATGATTATCTGAAAGTAATCACAGTGGAATAATGTATATATCTTCAACTTGAGCAACAACCATTGTAGATTTTGTGATATTAGAAGCAAGGCAGAAATCTCTAATCGGAAACAACAGGCACGATTCTGTGTCTATGTTTGTAAACATCCAATATCCAAAGATGGTCTGAGAGACGTCAGTAGAGTTTTGATCATGACTCATCAGAGCTTGTTCCTTCGATCTGCTAAGGCACGAATCTTCTTGTTCGCCGAGTAGGATTGATCATTTTTCCATTAACTTTCGAAATATGATTTTAACTGTAGTTCCAAACTGTGGTATGCCTAGCTACTGTACAAAATTTCTCAGCAGACATGTAACAAACTAATACTTGAAGGACATGAAGACTCTCTTGCAGTTATTCCTAGATCTTGGTAATTGAGATAATACTGAGTAATCATCACTAATAAAAATGGATGCATTTCCATCAAATAAATGGAATTATCCTGATTTAATTAGCTAGTGATCTGACTTGTGCCTGTTTACAGCATTTATCCGATTTGCTAGCAAAGGTTGGTATCTTCTGATGTTAGTTACAGTACTTCTTTGAAGAAAAAACACAGCCAAGACCGAGTCTGATGTTTCTAGCAAGTGGCTGACTAAAATTATGGAGTAATTTTCCAAACATGAGGCCTAATGGTGTTTGACTAGACTTATGTACAGCACAAAGTCACTCATTATGGATAAAAAATAATTTAAAACCTCTCTCTTTTGTTTGTTTTGATATTGAAAATCTATCTGTGCAAGCAAATATCAAATTCTGAGCTGCATAGTTTGATATTATGTATTTACAGTGCATAATAATAAGATTATGTCATGGGATTCTGGTTTCTGCTCTTTTCCTAACTGGCTGAGAGTTTAAAAACGGGACAATAATGAATCACGCATAGCAAACAGTCTTTCTACATCAAAGTGCCCTTCTTTACACACATGAATCTTTAGGCTGTTCTTCCAAGATAATTTTGAGCTGGAATCTGTTCGTACATGTAATAGTAAGTAATAAGGGATAGCAAAAGAGCATAATCAACAATCCAAAATGACTACTAGAGAATAGCCTGTAAGGACGATCTCTGAGTTTCCTGGAAGAGGAAATATAGCACTTTTTTCCCCACTTTTCATTCTTTTTTCTAATGCCTTTTAAATTTACGCTTTCCTGGTACACTTTACTACTGTGCATCTCATTTTTTGTGTGTGAAGAGAACTTCAGTGAATGACATCCATCTTTTGAGTCCTGTGGGGCAGGGAAAGAGATACCAGTTTCCATTTTCAAATATTTTCTTTTTTTACCTGTGCCTGGAAGAAGACTCTGAATTTAGAAACTGAAGACATTGCTTGCAGCTCACAACTATCAGAAAAGAATTGTGTCTGCTGAGTTTGAGGAAGAAAGTTGAAACAAAACCAGCACCAGTTGTAGGAAAAAAAATATTGTTGTATATTTGGTAACTGCAGGAATGAATTTACATGCTTGACAAATGAGTAGGATGCAGAAATGTCACCAGGAAGGGACTTGCCAGGTTCTACTGACTAATCTTTAAGTTCTTTAAATTATTTTCTTATTTTATCTGATATTATGTCTACCTGTAATAAAAAAATTAGGCCCAGATTCAGTGAAACCATTGAGTACATAAGATAACCACATGCTTAAATGTTCTTGTCATGTTCTTTACATCTGCAAGATTGAGCCAAAGACTGTTGGGATTTAAGTTATAGCACAAAGTGTGCAGACAGGACGTGTTAATTCTACTGTTGACTGAAACCTCTCTCATATACTTCTGAACTGCAAAGGGAAATTATATAAATACAAGAGGATTCAATGCACTTTGTGTATTTATTTTAAAGCTGAAAACCCTATTATACTAGCTATAAAAATTATCAGATCTCAGTTTTTCCCAGGGAAACAAAGGGAATAAAAGGCATCAGCTAGCAGGGAATGGAGTTCTCAGTTTACGATTACCACCATCCTTCAGAGGTGATAATAATTAAATGCTGTCACAGCATCCATAGTCCCATGGTTGTATCTCCATCATCAGAGTCTTCAAAGAAAACCTGATTACTTTACGAGCAGCCTACTGTCACTACTGTTTGACAGGCAGAGTTATAGGCTACATATAAAAATAGCCATATTTTATCAGAGGTTAAATTAGAGCTTCCAGCCTTAATATCTATACATTTTAAGATACTTTCTGTAGAAATGATCAGGGAACATTACGTGAAAATAATAATTTTGTATTAAATTATATAGCAATGTCTATAAAATGTATCTTAAAAATGCATCCAGCTAAAGCAATATTATCAAGTTGAATGTTTTGAGCTATTTTTAAATCCATTTTCATACATCATTCCTTTTAATAGTGTGCCTTGAATATTCACTTGAAAAATGCCCAAGTCTATAGATAAGAACAAAAGCAACCATATTCAATTTTTCCTTCTTCCTTTTTCTCATGTGTTTTTGTCATCCACCTCTTCAAGATCATTTTGGTTGCTAATAACAGGATTGGTAGACACCCATTGCATGGCGTATGGGAAGGGCATATATCACCAGCCAACACAGAGCTGGAGTTTCATGAACTCAAGTCAAGTGTATACAGAAAATAAACTTTTACTTTATCTCTTTTGTTTCTTATTTATTGCCGCATTTTCTTGTAACTGTCTGCTTTGCAAATATAATTTTCAAGTTGACAGTATCCTTCTAATTTGGAATTCAGGGGATTTCTAGTATTTAGTTTTGAGTCTGTCGGTTCATTCCTTTCACATTACTAAGATTAATGTGAAAACATGAGTACAGATGAAATAGTTTCTTCAGCTGTGGAAATGTCATAGAAGATTGCATCACTATAACATAGCAGAAAGCAAAATGAGAACTGTTGCTTATGATTATTACACTGATTTAGTGCTAAACTTTGATCTATTGTCCTATTCAGTAAATTCTATACAGCAGGTTTTGCCAAGTAAACTTCTTCCTTCTATAAAATTAAGTCCTGGCAAAGTTGTCATTTAAACAGCTTTTCTGATTGAAAGAGATCCTTGCGCCTGTTGAAGTGAATGATAAAATTTCACTTCACTGGGGCAGGACAAAGCATAAACTTGTGAGATGCAAAGTGGTATGTGGTTTAAAGTTAAGAGCAAAAAGCTGCTTTGTATTTTTCTTACTTGGATAGCATTCTTTTGAAATTGTCTTGGGATTTACAGACATACTTTTGCTATTTCTTTTAACTTTGTTGACCAGTCTTTATACTTCTATGAATCAACCTCAAATAATTCATCTAGAAACAACACTTTGACTTGGTAAGTACACTTGTTCAAGTCAGCTGGTTCTAGCAACATCCTGTCCATTTTATATTAATAGTTGTTTTTTTCTCCAGTCAATATTTATTAAATTAATTTTAATTTTATGACAGGGAGTTTACTTGTTTACAATCTTATCTTGATAATTGCATGTTTATTTCTTCTTTATATTTAGGATATGATGCTTCAGCTGTTTCGGGGACTGGATTTTCTGCATTCACATCGTGTGGTGCATCGGGACCTGAAACCCCAAAATATCCTTGTAACCAGCAGCGGGCAGATAAAGGTAGCTGACTTTGGCCTTGCACGAATCTACAGTTTTCAGATGGCTCTTACCTCAGTGGTAAGTTTCTAGAGGTTTTTATTTCTCTTTTAATGCAGTAGTGTGCTTTACTCTTCACGTTCCTGTCTTTTTATCCCATATTATAGCACTGCTTCTAGAACCATCTCTGCGATTGAAGTAACTTGTGTCTCTGAAAACAATTGCTTTCCAGCCAGGATTTAAGTTGTTGTGGTTACTTTGTAAAACTAATCAATTACTGGTTACTGGTTCTAAAGTAAATCATGACTAATTACTGAAGGATAGATATGTGTTAGTTTTCTGAAACTCCATCAGGTTAGCATCTGTTGTGATACTGACTTATTTTGCACATTAAGCCAGACAAGTAGGGTGAAAGTTTCTGAGTACCCATTTTAAGATAAAACTCTTGCTGATCCCGAGGTATCTTGCCTGAAAAAATACACAGATACTTCTGAAAATGCCACACTGTCATGTCTCTGATTTTCCATCTCTGTTAATATGGGTTTGATGCTTGCTCCCATATGTTACTGAATGATTCCAAATAGGGCTGTGCTGGAGGCAGCTCAAGTGGAGTAGGCAGCCAAAATCACAGCTATTTCCCAAGCCAGCTGTTAAAGAGCACCTCCAGTATCTCTAGGCCCCCTGCTGCTGTTGCCTCTCTCCCAGGAGCTCTCCTGGTTGTCCTTGGCTCAGACACGAGCTTACTCCTAGAAGATCTGGTCCTCTCCTGCGTTCATGTTGGTAGACAAGCCCTGCCAGCTCCTCACTTTTTGAGTGTGTTTCCATGCTTGCTGGCCCTGCTCCCAGAATCAGCTGCTGTTACCTTGGCCCAGCATCTCTGAAGTGCATTGAAGAGTAACTGTGCTGCATGCATGTTGGGTGTTGCTTGGTTTTGCTGCCTGCTCATGAATTTTTTTGTTTCCATTTTATATTCTGAGTATCGCAATTGCCATGGCAGTATCATTTACACTGAAGAGGGGAGAGGGAGAACTGCTGAGAGAACAAACTGAAAAAAGTCCACTTCGCATTTTACATCCTATTGTAGAAATTAGCTTGGCTCACGTTGATAAAAAGTAATCTATTGTTATTATTAGTTACTGTAAGAGTCTTCCCATCCTTGTGTGATGTAATTATGACATCCTGAGTTCCGGCTTCAGTGTGAATGAAGGCAGGAAGCAACAGAAAATGATATCATCATCTTGCTAAATGTAGGAAAGTATTCTCTTCACATAAAGCGTATGTAAACTTGTGTTTTGGGGCTTTTTTTTTTCACGGTCTGTAGGATGTAGCCTAATCCAAAGCTGAAAGGATCTCTCTGCTGAGGTCAGTGAGGATGGATCATGTTGCAACTCAAAACAGAGCTTTGAAGAAAAGGAGAGAAAAGTTTTTCCTGAATTGCTGTAATTTTTCATGTCCCAGTTGTCAGTCAGTAACAGCTTCAATGAGTGTTTCTATTGATCCATAAGATTCTTTAAGCTAAACTTGCAGAGTGTTGTAAGGCTTCCAGCAGGGCTTTTTTTAAGAGTTCTGCATAAAATGAAGAAAAAATATCTATGGAACTGAACAGGAGCTTGTCCATGATCATGTAGCCTGCATGGAAAGGAAGGTCAAAAGACCCAGAAATAGAGTGCATCTACTGAGGCAAAAATGTACCAAGACCTGCTTGTAAGAGAACATTGCCAGAATTGCTATGCGAAGGATGTGCGTATGCTCAAGTATCTAATACTTGTGTGCTAGAAATAGTGTTTCAAACCCCATTAGCTAGTACCCTTAGTGCTGCTGCGAAGAAGAGTTGTTCGGACTAAGGGGTTGTCCACATGCAAGTTTGTACTGTGTTCGCACAAACATTCAATTGTCATTGCAGCTATGCTAACGAGTATTAAAATAATTGAATTATTCATTCACCAATGACAAGTAAACTGTATGGACATAGGCATGGATAATGGCTTTCACAACTAGAACTTATTGCATAATTATTTTGTTATTAAAAAAATAACAGCTATGATCATGGCTTTTTTAAGTTAAAAATGGAGTGGTTTTAAAACACTTAGTGTTTAACACCTCCAAAATTAACTTTTCCCTGGGTATGCGGAAGCTTGTAAGGGAGTGTTGCTTTCAATGTGATAATGTGGTATGGTTTTAAATGTCAGTCTTCATTGCTCCTGCAGACAGAGCGCTGGTTAGAAACTTGTAGTAAATGTGTATTAGCTGACACAAACCATCAGTTTTTCCTTTTCTGAATGTAACTTTTACCTTTGGGTAGCTGCTTTGGTGTGCAAATTCTTTTTTTTTTTCGTCCATTAAAACTCAGTACAGGAAACAAAACTTCAGAAAAAAAAAAAACAAACGAACGAACCCTCTGTTTTTCAAACATAAAGATATTCTTGACTTTACCATTCCCAAAACAGTCTAAATTGCAGTTCTTTGCCAGGCAGTGAGTAAACTTTCATTGACTTCAGCAGAACCAGCTTTGTTTTGAAGTGTTTGCAGAAAAAAATGTTGCATTGTAAAAGACAGCATATATCTACACATGTATCAATTAATGAAAGACTGAGCTTGCAAGGGTTTGCTTCAGAGTTATATTGAAAAGTGATAGTGCAGACAGCCCAGTGATAGAAGGCACATTGCGTGCGCTATCATTGTCATCAATACAAGGGCTCTGCAGCATTTCCTTCAGAAGAGATGCTTACTGCAAGATAAACGACAAGAACCATCTTTTGAAGTATCAGATCATTCCCAAGATGCATTCTCATTCATTGCTTACAAAGAAACTCTTCAGATGGGACAAAAAGAGCTTGCCATGAAATTGATCCAGTAAAAACTGATCCAGCCCTACTACTCTGGGTGCTGCAAATGCTGACTTCAAAGCAGTCTCTCTCTGATAGCCAGTTAATTCCACAAGGCGAAAGAATCCTCCTGACAGATAAGTCATCCGGGCATATTGCTGTCATTTAAAGAAACCTCTTAATATTTCCGTCAGTGAATGAACAAAAGATTCAAACTAATGTTACGCAGGCTTGGGGGGGGCAGGGTGGAGATCACTAGTCTCAGCTGTGGTCAGACTGAGAACTGATACAGGTCTGAAATAAGAGCACTAGAAAGAACGGGCTCGGGCAGGGGTGTCTCAGATGGTGGGTAACAGGGCACGCTTTTGGTTTCGTACAAAGTTAGACTCTCAACTGTTGGTCTTGGCCCTTGGGGAAATTTTGAGTGGCTTCGTGATAACAGAGAAGCTCCATAGGACAGGGGAGGTGGATTGATGTGACGGTGTAATTTTAGAGTTTGATAGCAAAAGCTAATGAACTGTCACTTTTTTTCCTGGTGCAGAAAAATGTGCACTCAGTCCTAACTTTCTCTGAGCAAAGCAGCAAGTGGCTGTCTGGAAAAAGGGAAGTTATATTATGAAAAAGAAATAAGCCATTTATCTATTTTTGTTGACTTCTAACTGCCTTAAAGAAAGGAAATGAAGCTGAATCATGGCACACGAGATTGCTGTGAGAGAAGTACACGCAGTTGTGATCACAGCATCTAGGTGGAGCTGAGGCTGTCCAGATTTAAAACCTGACCTGCTTCAGGATCTAGTGAAACTGGCAAAATGTTAGTGTTTGTAACACACTCATAATACTTTCTTTGAAAACATGTGTCCTTTACCTTAGATGGCAGCACTACTGATGGGTTTTTTCCCATGAAAGGCAAACAAAATTGGTTTATGTCTTCCTTTAAAAAATAACCCACTTGTTTTCAGATTTACTGAACATCAGAAGGGAAAACACATCACTTTCTCTGCTGATGCTCTAAGTTGTTGAATACTAGACTCATCTAAATTGATGATTAAAAAGAGAAGACACAAAAAATCCTGCAGTTACTGTCAGTGAATAATTTTAGATTACACTAGCATTTTACTTCAGTGTTTCTTCAGGATAAAAACTTTCCATCCATTTCTGGCAGTCACTTCAGCACAAATGGTTTACATGTCACATCATGCAGGAACTTGGATTTCATTTTGTTGGTATAGTAGCAAGGGAGCATAAAATAATTCTTACTAACTGGGCTTACTTTGTAAAAATAAAGATATAAATTAATTATAGCAACTAAAACAACAAAAAAGGGTAGAAAAACCCTATTCCAAAGAGGAATGATTGCTTTCCTGTTTTCTGCCCGCTGTTGGCATTGTAATTTTCTAATAAATGCCACCTATTAGTAAATAACGTGAATAAACTCTCTTCTGAGCTAATATGATCGTCGAAGAACTTTCTTTGGCTTTGCCTTGTTTTTGGCCGGGTGTGGTCCCTTTTTTTATGGCCACCTCTTCCTGATACTGTGCTTCCCAAAATCCACATATCTGTATGTAATACACCTTGCAGAGTCCATTCCTATGTTGGGTATGTTCCAGCAGACCTGGAGTCTGTTGCAGTGCAGCTTTAACCTGAGATGCATTGAGTAACCCTAAATGGGCCTGATTCAGCAACCTATTTAAAACTCGCAGTTAGCATCAAACATAGGAGGAGACCTATGGAAATTAATCAAGCACCTGCCTCTGGTGAATCAAATTCAAAATCTGGACTGTGTTAAAGAGTGTCCTAACGGAATCACTGCAGTGACACTAGGTTTTATCTCATACGTAATTTGGTAAGAGCATAAATCTTCTTCCCTCTGACAGATGGAAGTGACATTGTTTTGGTGTGCACTGAGCCTTCACTGTTGTGAAGAAGCACATCACGTTAAGATCTGAGCGCCGATCTCCAGTTCTTTCCTCACGGTGCATTTCTCCTGTCCACCCAATGTCCCTGAAAAGGAAAATGAGTCACAGATAGACATCCAGAGGATCAAAATATGTGTTGTTCAGCTTGTCAGTGCTGCTGCTGCTGAAAGGTTGTGACTATTTAGGAATGCAGTATGATTAAATTGGTTGGCTTATTTAGGAAAATCTGTCTTCCCTACTAACACAGAGTTCTGCATAAAAAGTCTATGTGTCTGGGTTTGTGAAGAAACAAGTGAATTTCTGTGATGTTTTAACATCTCGATAGTTAAAGGAATCTTTA